CCCCCCCCCCCCCCCCGAAAATAAAATGTGTGTCCGCACACATAAATGAAAGAAAAAACAGAAAGAAAGAAAAAGAAAACGAAATAATGTTCGTAAAAGAAAACAACAAAAAAAAATAAAGAAAACACACACATGTTCAACAATATACAAGAAAAAAAAAGAAATATATATATATATATAAATCGATTACTTGTATAGACGATGATAATGTTGTTTTGTAAACATCCGATCATGTAATAATTGCTCTACTTCGTCCACCATTGCTTGATCTTTAAGTCCAATAGATAATTTGTGTCGGATCATATTGACATTAAGAGAATAAATATTCATTGATTTTAATATACGTTTAATTTGTATAATACTAAATAAATGATAAACTGTACGAATAACTTTAAATCAATAACAGTTTGCACGATGACGACGATTTGTTTTTCGATTTCGTATTTGTTTTTTTGTTAATGTTGTTATTGGATCTAAATGATAGGAATTTCTTACCTGATTCGGTTCATTTCTTATATGAACTGTCATCTGTTGATTTGATGACTGTTCATCATGATGCTGTTGTATATATCGTTGACTTGGTTCATGATAAAAATGAAGCTTCATAATTTCAGGTATAGATTGTGTATCCATATCATCATCCGGTTGAAGTTCAATAACATCTGATTCAAGTTCCATTGATTCATGTTGTACATATAATGATTCATTATAATGCGATTCATAATATTCATTATTGATTGGTCGAATTAGTTCAATGTCTTCTTGTCGTTGATATGATATTTCTTTTTCATGAACTATTACTTATTCATATGTTGATGGTATATTAATTGATACTTCTTGTTGTAAATTAATATTGTCTTCATGGTCGGAAACATCTTCATAATCATTTGTTGATAAAAATTGTATTAAATTTAATTTATAAGATAATTTGGTAACTACGAAAACATCATTAATGGCATATTCTGTTAATATTGATCGATATTTCTTTTCTTCTTTAAGTTGATATGTACGTTCGGGACCAACGACATCTAATGGTAAATAGGTCCCTAATGCTAAATCAACACCACATGCCCATTCAGCTAATGTGGCTGTTTTGTTTAACCTGTTGAATCCCGCTTGTCTTCAATTGAAGACAAGCAGAACGAAAGAATTTTTTTTTCGTTCTGTCGTGCCAATAACATATGTTTGGCGAGGAGAAAATGAATCGAGGAGAGGTCATATGTGCAATGGCGCTTATCATTATTTTTTTAATTCTGACATACGAGAAACTAACAAAGAAACTTTCTCCGATTATGCTTGAATAACGAAATTCCTTTTTTAGTTATTTATTGATTAGTAAAATCTCTTATTTCAGATCTAATTTGAAGAAGGACAAGAGCTAACTGGAAAATTAGGTCCAGTTTTTTCTTGGAAAGCTGGTAAGACTCGTGATATCTTGTCATTTCCAGGTTCAACTATTATCCATTGTTCATCGATACTTTGTCCTGAATTTGATGAGGAATTAGTTGAACGATTTGGATATATAACATCGTCATCACTACACAGCAAAAATACTTTCATCTGCCAAAAATCAAACAGAGTGAGATCTTTACCTATATTCTTCACTATCATAAATTTCTTTTTCATTATACAAAGCTTCATCCTTTTTTTCAACAGTGCCATAAGGATAGACGGTGTCGTCATCACTAGAGAGTAAATCTTGCTTTAGTCTATTAGTGTTGAATAGAATCAAATTATTACCTATACTCTTCACTCTCGTAATGAAGATTCGTATTGATTAATTGTTTCTCCACTTCATCAATTTCTGAATCTGATAAAGCCACCATAGATTTTTCCTCGTATTCACTATCGCTGCTATCGTCGAAAACGTTACGCTTCTCCATTGTAAATTTTGAATATAGTGATTTCTTACAAATATTCTGTCTCTTTCATCAGGTTTTCTCTTGTTCAAGGTCCACCTAGTTTCTATTTCTTTCGTGTCGTATCAAGAACACACTATAAAGGCATTACGAGTCCATGTTTTATAATCGATAATCTGTGACATATACATACAGCTGATTGAACGCGACGGAACGCAAGAGAGAGTGATTTTTTTATTTTTATCCATATTATACAGAACGCAAGAAATTATCGGGATTCAAGAGGTTAAATATTCACCAAATTCATGTTTAATAATTTTTTGTAATGCTGCCTTTTGAGCACCACTGTATTCGTCTTGTATATTATATTCTTGAATTTTTATATTTGTATTAAGTAGATAAAATGAATTTAATGTTCCAAGTTCTTGTACAGCCGAACCCATGAATAAATACGATTATTTGATGTAAATGTTATTGTACATAGTTGTTGTATTTTTTTAAATAATGGAGTTGTAACTGATGGTAAATATTGAACTTCAATAATGGTAATAATTGATGGTAATGTTTGACGAATGAATTCGACTTATAATGTTGCTGGTTTATGTGTTAATGCATCATTTTCGGTATCGATTGAGAAATGTTTCGTTAATTTTGCTTGATCAATTAATTCATCGATTTTCAAAATATCAGTTTGTTCATACATAAAATAACATAAATAGTTTTTGGGCTGTTGGAATGGTGTTAATTTTCCTGTCCGACATTCTTCTTGTAAATCTTGTTCTTTTTTCAGCTTTTGAGGCTTCCATAATTGATTTCTTCGTAATAATCGTTCATATGGTGGTACATAATGATGGTTGTAATGTATTGAACATGAACTTTTTCTTGAAAAGTTCATCTTTGTGTGTTAGTAAAAAAACAAAGAAAATAAATAAACAAACAAAAGAAAATAATAAGGAAGAACAAAATTTTTATTTTGTGTATATCTATATATCTGACGGTACGTAGAGAAATAGTCGTGAGCTAAAATATATCTGAAATATCTGAAACAAAAAAATATATACAGGACTCTCATGAACAGTCCTCTCAAAATGGTTGCTGCTTTCATGAATCTATGTAAGATTCATATGTATATTCAACTTTTATGTATTCAATTTGTACCGAAGATTTTGTTGATTGAAATGACCATATATATGTATATATACTGAAGAGACGAAGAAAAAGAAAAAAAATGTGAATCGTAATAGAAAGGAAAGATAAAAGTGTTTTCTTAACATGTATATGATAAAACGAAGTGTGAGGAAGAAAAGAAAGTATATCACAAGAGAAGAGGAAAGACAAAGACTAATAGTCGATGATGCGTATACGTCCGGTACTGATAACTACAAGGTGACTATATCTAGTTCACGTTACTAATCCAACTTATACCTAATCCATATATTTTCGTTCATATAAGGGGATAATGACATCTATTGTAACTTGTCGTATTAATGTATGCTTCTTAATATGTTGTACGATGAATGTTTTTCGTCCAAGTTGTTGTGTAATCTTGAAAGGTCCTTCATATCGTATGTCGAATTTGTTTCGCTTGTTTAATGTTTTAATGAGGACGAGATCACCGACTTTATAAGTTGGATTGGCACAATATCGATCATAACGGTCTTTATATTTTCGTTGTTGTTCTAATATTTTGACTTTTGCTTGTTCAGTTAATGTTAACAAATATTGATTTAATTTTGACTTGTGTTCTAGATCTTGTGATAATGTAACTAATGATTGTTGTTGATGAAAAGGTAAGATTGGTGAACGACCATATATTAATTCGAATGGAATTTGTCCAGTTGTTTTGTGAATAGTGGTGTTGTAATTGAATGTAACAAATGGTAATTGTTCATCCCAATTCGTACGTTTTTCATTTGATAATGCTGCTATTTTAGCATCCATTGTTGCATTGAATCTTTCTATTTGTCCATTAATCATTGGATGGTAAGGTGTTGAATATAAATGTGTGATGCCAATTTTCTTAAATAATTCAGCCATCATCGTTGCTGTAAAATGAGTACCATTGTCTGTAAGAATACATTTCGGAGTGCCATATTTAAGGATCACTTCCTCGATCAAAAATTGTGCTGCAGTTGAAGCAGTGCAATCACGGACTGCTTTCGTAATTACGAATTTTGATAATACGTCAGTTAATAAAATAATATATTTATTACCATTCTTTGTTGTTGGTGTAATCGGTCCGTGAAAATCCATTGTTAGTAATTGCCATACACCTTCCGGAGGTTTGATTGGTTTCAAAGCACCTGGTGGCTTCTACACTCTAAAAAATTTCCGTATCCTAGGAAACCGAAAGGGGTTCGGAAACCCAATCGGAAACCCTTTTCCGTTTCCGAGAGGGTTTCCGAAGATTGAAAGCGTTTCTGAAAATACCCTTTTGGTTTCCGACAATACTCAATTGAACACTCTAAAGGTATTCTGGAATACCTTTTCTTGCTCTCGGGAACCGGAAAGGTATTGTCGAAAACCCATATTACCAGAAAAACTGGATTGGTGCCCGACAGGGTATGCAAAAATACCTTTTCAATGCCCAAATGGTTTCCGAAAATACCTAATCTGAAATAGGGTATCATAGGAAACCAAAATGGGTTTGCGAAAATACCTAATCTAAAAATGGAATCATAGGAAACCGAAATAGGTTTCCGAATTCTGTTTGAATATTCTAAAGGATGAGTGAGAATTTAAATATTTTTTAAATGTTCATCAATTTCGTGATTGACATCCGAAAACTTCACAAAAGTAACAATGTGGATTTGAACCTTATTTTTCGATATTTTTTCTCATGCTCAGCTTCGAAGATTTTTATTCAAGAGAAAAAGTTGATATAATGAGTATTTCCTATTACATTATTCAAATGTTTTCCTGTGTGAATAGTTCTATGAAATGTATAGCCATATCATTCTTCTGAAATAGTGGAATTTTATTTTTGCATTGTAATGTTGATCTAATATTTGAGAATATGAGAAAAGATACGACGTCAACGAATCGGAAACAAAATCTATAAACGGCATATTGAAGCATTTAGGTATTGAATATGATGAAAAAACAGCAGTAAGTAAAGGTACAGTATGTTCACATCTAAATGACTTTTTCTTTATCCTAGAATTCTTGGCGTGAGTCTTTAATCTCGAAATATAAAAGAGAAAGGCAAAATTATAGTGATGATAGAGTTATCGAAATGAAACTTCGATACTCGAAAGAAAAATCCGGAAGAAAAATCAAGCAGATTCCAATAACACAGATATCAGAGAGAAACCACCTTAAGCATGTAAATAATAATTAAAGAATAATAAAGTAATGCATATTTTATTTTCTTAGATTTCAGTTGTGCAAGATTCACCTCCTGATATAGAATTATTAGAAAAAAAAGCTGAAATAATCAGCAGAGATTTTCAAAATAGTTCATTTGATGATCCACATTTTGAACGATTATGGTTTGAGACATATGAATATCGAAAAAATTTTATAAAACAAAACACAGTTGAAGATATTTTAAAACAATTTCCAGCTTACTCAAATTCATCTATGGTAGTAGTAAATTAAGGTACTTCCATCATGTGATGATTTTTTTATAGATTTTAGCAGATGTTAAAATGTTAACAGGTATTGATTTGAGCCATTCAGTTCAAGAAAAACTTGATACACTTGCTGATAAAATCTGTACTACAACTAAATTTCCAACCGGTATTTTATAATTAACATCGTTGTCATCGTTAACTTTTTTTTCTAGATAGTTCATGTGTTCGCTGTTTAAAGGTATTATGTGAATTATTGAATGATTCTTGGAAACATTATATCTATTTCTATCCTGAAGTAAGCCATATATATTAATGTCTCTGTTGTATACCAAACAAAAAGAAATCAATAATATTAGATTTCATCTCTTTCTTGAGTTATTTAATTTGTTAAGATAGATCGATGCTTTTCATCTAAAACTCATCGACATAAGTAGAAGCTAATCAAGTCAAAATGTTGTTCAGTTAGTCATCCATTTTTCTAATGATAGGATAATTATAAATTTCTATTCATAAAATTTGTTATTTGTGAAGATCTTATTTACTGAAGCTTAATTCAGATACGCTTTCAAAATAAAGCATTAACGAGAAAAAAGAATTTGGTCTTACTTAATTTATTCCTATTGAATGTCTTTCATTCTGATGCTTACACTCACTTTTACAGAAACTGGCTTCTCCACAACCATCGATCGTAGTTGAAGATGACAATATAAAAATCTATGTTGATGGGTGTTATGTATGCTCATCAAATTCAATAGAAGGTATTGCTGTACTTATTGGTCTATATTGTTTGATGAATCTCAAGTTTCATCCTCATCGTACTACTTCAAGATTTATATACGTTTATTTGATGAGTGATAAATATCAACAATCAAATATTATTCGTCGATTTTGTAAAGAATACAATATCGAAGTTCAAGATAAACCCATACTAACATCTGTTTCTCGACCTGAACGAATAGAAAATAATGAATTATTAGTTGACGATGATACTACAAATGATAATAATGCTTTAATAAATAGTCATGAACAAAATAATAGTACACAAATATCTGATCAGATTCACGTGTTGCAATTTCCACCAATTTCACCTGATCAACAAAGTCCATCAAAGAGAAAAGCAAATCAAATATGTGAATCTGAACAATCACTTACAGAAAATTATCCACCAACTAAAAAACCTGCACGAGCTACTCGCCGTAAACGATGATGAAACAAAATCCATTGTAAAGTTAAATTAAAAAAACTTTTCGATTTGCTTCTCCATTTATTCTTCCAATGATAAACTTTCTTTGTTTCGGTTATTTTTTACAGAAAAAAAAGAAACCAGATGTTTTTTTTTAGAGAATTTCTTTCTTTTTATTTACAAATAGCCGATATTATGAATCTTGCTAATGTTCTCTAAACAAACAGGAGAAGCCACTAGCTAATTTTTAACTTTTCCACATTTTCCTTGTCTTAATTTTTCTTTATATTTTGCTTTTTTAATAAACAACTATACCTCTGAAGTAAAATGATGATACAAGGATTGTTTTCAATTACAACTTAAGAGCACAAATCCTGTGTATCAATGGATCACTGATGCCTGATTATCTATTACAAATGAAATTACTATTTTGTTCTCTAAAAATTTCTTCTGTGTATAATACAAAAATCAGCCACTTCTATATTACCCATAGAAAACAACTATGACTTCCTTCTATTAATAGTTAATGCAATGAGCATATTTCGTACTACATATTCAACGAATAATTACTTATTTCCTCAGCCCTTTCGATTTGAATGATATCAGGCTACTCAACTATCGAACAAAACATCAGAATAACTATTCAAGCTGATCCTTTTTTTTCTGATTGCATATCTATCGAATAATGTATCTATAATCAGTAGAAAACATTTCACTAACGATACTATTCCCTGCAAACACGCTCAAAAGCAAAGATTTTCTTCTATAGAATCATTTTCACGTGAGCAAAATATTGATGAAACATTATATTGATCGAAAGCTTCTATATTAATTCCTGCACTTTATTGCTCAAAGCTATCTGCAGCAGCCATGCCATTTTCTTCGATTTCAACAATCTAAGACCATAATAATTGTCAACTCGAAAATCTGTTTCATTTCAGAAACATGATACCTTCATTTCATACCTCGTCCAAAAGCTAACTTTTCTTATGATTTGAGTCGCGAATTCATCTCGATGAGTTCTATAATTCATTCAATGTTGCACGAAATGCTTTTTATTTTTACACACCTACTCATCTCAATAGGTTGGTGAGTTGTTTTAAATTATTTTATGAAATATTTTCTAATCTATACTTTTTCAATTCCGTATTTCCTCAATCTGCCCAGGCCGTTTGTTTAATTTCGTGAATATAAAATACTATTCCAATTTTTATTTTTGTATCATAATACGACCCAAGAATTCGGTGAGTTTGAATCAATTAATTGAATTAAAATATATTTTCACTTTTACTTTTTAGATTCGTTTTATATATCGATAGATCCGGTGAGTTTGAATCAATTAATTAAATGAAAATACAATTTTATTTTTATTTTTTAGATTCGTTTTATGTATCGATATATCCGGTGAGTTTATTCCAATTATTAAACGAAAATGAAATTTTATTTTTATTTTTAGATTCGTTTTATATATCGACAGATCCGGTGAGTTTACTCCAATTATTACATAAAAATACAATTTCATTTTTATTTTTAGATTTGTTTTATATCGATAGATCCGGTGAGTTTATTCCAATTATTAAACGAAAATGAAATTTTATTTTTATTTTTAGATTCGTTTTATATATCGACAGATCCGGTGAGTTTACTCCAATTATTAAATAAAAATACAATTTCATTTTCATTTTTAGATTCGTTTTATATTTGGATATATCCAGTGAGTTTATTCCAATTATTAAATGAATATAGAATTTCATTTTTATTTTTAGATTGGTTTTATATCTCAATATATCCTGTGAGTTTGAATCAGTTAATTAAATGAGAATACAATTTCATTTTTACTTTTAGATGAGAATTGTAGTGAAAGGTTTCGTGAGCTGATGAAAATCGTTCAGTAACTATTATGGTTGCGTTGTGTTTTTTAGATTGGAATGGGCAGAGATGGGTGCTTATTAGTTGTTATGAGTTTCGACGCGAAGAAAGCTGGTGAGTTCAGATAATGTTTCGACAAAAAATATGGTTTGTTTTCTCGTTTTATAGGTGTAGAAGGTCGCAATGTTTCGCCTCCTGATGGTTTGGTAATGATGCGAGGAAGGGCAGCAGGGTACTCGAAGTTTTTCTCTGAATCTCGTGTGTTGCCCACCTTTGATGGTTGTGGTAGTTATTTCTAGATGCGGATAGGTTCACAACAGAGCCTCATCGAATATCTGGGGCCGCTTTGAATGCTTGTTGCTGCTGGTAGCGTAGTGATCGCTTCCTGTCTAGTCTAGTTCGATAGAGCTTTTTCTGTATTCGGAAACCTTTTCTTTGGGTTTCCGAATGAGTATTTGAGGTTTCACTATGATGGACAGTATGGGTTTCCGAGGATACCTATTTTTTTTAGAGCGTAGATAGATTAAGTTGATCTAATTCATCGACATCTCCTCAAAATGATTCGGTTTTCCCATCAATTTGATCCATATTCTTCATGTGATCAATCAAGAATGTTCACAATCGGATTGAGATTTACATATTTTGATAACAAGTTCGGTTGATATTTTCCATTGAATTTATTGATGAATCACGCATATTCTCATAAAACCACACTTGAATCGATCCATACATAGCAAAAGAATTTGGCTAATATGCTCAAGACATGAGTCCTAATTGAAAGATTGGAACATCTTTTATGAACAAACGCGTACGATCGAAAATGAGTAATATTACTTTTAAAAAAAATACAATTCTATGAACAGTCATTTCCTCCTCGTTTGACGCGGTGGTTAGTTCATAAAATATTAGTAATCAAGATTCAGTTTTTATTAATCAATTCTTGACTTTATTTTCTGTCTAAACTTGTACAAAATACATTGATTTATTTCTTTCGATGCTGCCATTTTTTAACAAGACGTTTTGATTGTGCAATGCTTACATCTGCATTTTCCGTTAGATCATAAGTCATATCCGCTGCCTTCTTGACTTCTTCTTCTTCTTCTTCTTCTTCTTCTTCTTCTTCTGTACTATAATCAAACGTTGCCTTTGGTTTGGACATGAAATGAGTTCGTATTTCGGTCATACTACTCATTTTTGAATAAACATCGGTGACCGTCTTGGACATTGTTCCAGTATCATTTTTCATCTGATGACAATGCATATTCTTCGAAGCAAAAATTTGATTCAATCGTTTCGCTTTTTCTTCGTCATCAACTCCTTCCGCTTCGGCTCGTTGCATTTCACGATCAATATCTTCTTGTGCACCTTGCATTAAACGATCTAACGAGATTTCTTCTCGTACTCCACCGATGATTACTTGTGCTAAAAGTTGAGCATTGACCATTGGAACATACTGTCCACCAGTAATATAAGCCAATGTCATGAAAAAATCGCGATAGGGAACTAAAAAGAGAGAGACATATGGTCTTCGATATAAATGAAAAAAGTTAAGAGAACTGACTGATAGGTGGTTCGACACCAACTGTATACAATGTAATGGTTTTTTCAGCCATATTCTGAACAATTTTTAATGGATTCAGTTTACAAGGACATCCTTTAGGAAAGCCATCACCACTTGAATCAAGTCCATGTGGTGGGGCATCGGAAATTAGAATACAGATTTTAGTAGCTTCGGCACGCCATGAAAGTTTTAGAACATCATGGAGAGCGTCAGCAACAGCCTCTGGTGCATCACCACCACCATTTGCTGAACATTGCTCTAGCCAACTTTTCATCTTACTGGGTTTATTGGTGAAATCGTGTACACGTGTGACAAATGTCGTATCCTAAACGAATGAAAGTCTCATTGATCACTCTATTCTGATACTGACCTGAGGTGGATGATCTCGATACTCGACGAGTGCTAAACGAACATCACTCTTTTCACTCGTAACAATGGCTTCAACAATAGAACGAATATTTTGTGTTGCACTGGCTATGTATGAGCCCATCGAACCAGTACAATCCATGGCAAAGGCAAGATCTAAACTCAAAAAACTTCTTCAAATTTTTTTCAGTTCATCTCGCAAGAAACAAAAACTAACCGAGTATGGATGAATCATGTTTGGCAAGTTCGGGTCGATCGATTTTGAGTTGATCAAATTTGGGCTGATCGGATTTAGATGGTTTGGCTTTGGCAGTACAAAGTAATGAGCCCATCGTTGAGTTGAAGATCTCTTAACCGAGATTTAGTTGAAAGATGAAAGAAAAGTATGTTCAAATATATGTTATCGCTTGTATGTCTTTCAATTTTTTACGTTGTCAATGAATAACTTGCAAACGTTTTTATGTAATTAGGCATCGACAACGTGGCGTCACGATGAGTCACTCATAACTCGTTCTCTCTGCTATGTCATAAATATGAATGTTTGCGAACAGAACAAGTAAAAGAACACAAGGTATCTATGTCAACGAGAAAAATATCTCATAACCGGTGACAAACGCATATTAATTTATCGATGACTCAATCTTGGGTAGACAGGTTTTGATTCATTCGATTTGTTTCATAATTCTTTTCAAATCTCTCAAGAATTTCAACGATAAATAAATAAATTTCGTAAAAATATGCATCAACAATTTACTGTTATTATTAAAATGCTGCTGCAAAGTCGAGCAAAAATAAAAAATAAAATTATGTCCGTTCGTTTTCTTTTTATATCTGATCCTTTTTAGTATACTTTTGGGTGTGGGGTGTGGGTGTGGGGTGTGGGTGTGGGTGGGGTGTGGGTGTGAGTGTGGGTGGGGTGTGGGTGTGAGTGTGGGTGTGAGTGTGGACATGATCCACACCCACACCCCACACCCCACACCCCACACCCCACACCCACACCCACACCCCACACCTACACCCCACACCCACACCCACACCCACACCCACACCCTTTCTCTATGCTTATGTAAGCTGATAATAGTATACCCATATTGAATAAACGAATTAGAATAAAGCCATTGAAGTCACAATCAATACTATCACAAGCGATAACAACAACGACAGCAATAATAAATGATGATAAGCCTCAAGCAATAGCTAAACAACATCTACGTTATAATTGTCAAGAACTTTTACGTATTCGTGATATTTTGGCACTATTTTCAATTCCAAAGAATCTTCCCAATCTTCCTATTATTATTCATCGATGTGATGATAATAATGCGCGTTATTTATGTGCTGACAAGAATAGTCAAAGACATATAACTTCTTCATGTCCTCGGCAATTATCACCCAATAATCATCGATCATTAAAAGAGGATCAAACTAGTCAAAATTTAACAAGAGATTGAAGTAGTAAAATGGAAATTCGTTCATCAACTGATTCTAGTTTTAGTTATCGTACCGAAAATTCTTGCAGAGCAGTCGATCAAAATAAAATTGATGCTGATGATAAATTTTTACATGATGGGTGTGGGTGAGGGTATTCCTGTCATCTACACTCACCCACAGCCACACCCACACTCTTAGAATAAGATGTTTGTATCACAATATCGAATTACATGTCCTTCTTTCAGTAGAAAAAGAATCCCAGTTGCGCATTAAATATAACTATCAATCATCGTCTACAGATTTTAAGAAATACGAACTAAGTGAAATATGTTTGAACATCTAAAAACAATAACTTATACAAAAATATTTTCAGTTATCATGTTTTTTGTTTGTATGGTTCTATTTCGTCTCTGAATTTTCGTCAGATAGTCACTAATAATGCAAAGGAGCAGAAGTTGTTTTCTTATCTTTCTGAGTTATTTTGCTTCAATGAAAGTAAAAAAAGATTGTCGGGTAATCAATTAATTAAAACTTCTTTAGAAAAAAAAATATTTAGGAAACTATTTTAGAAAGTTAAAGAAAGAAAAGAATAATAGTGAAGCATATCTTTTTGATTTGAATAATTTTTCTCCTTCTAACATAGTCCATAGAAAGTAAAATTTGAAAAGATACTTCGTCAGAACATAACCATGATTGGACTTGATAGTTGTATTACCCATCTCAAAATATATGTCTAGGAAAAAATTTCAGAACTCTATCACGTACTGGTGAGAAGATATCGTGAAAATATATTGAGTGAAAAATTGACAAAAAAGTCGAATTGATAAAAAGCGATTTTGGATGCCATTAGAAGGATTATCGTCTCTCAGTCAAAACTCATCTTTTAAGTCTAAAAATTTGGCTATATACCTAAAATATTTGCTCTATAAAATGCGATAACTTTCATGAAAATCTAGGATTTTCGATTGAGCAGCTATATTGGGATTCGGGTATGGCTCTCGTGCAGTGACTCTCAGTTACACAAAGATATTATGAGTGGCTTGGTTGACATATTGCGAAAGCTTCCATAATTTGCGAAGCTATCAAACGTTTAGTGCATGATGTATAAAACCGCATATCAATTCGCGAAACTCTCCGAGAATTTCGTTTAAAGATTTGGAAATCCTGTCAAATCTGCTGAGCTCAAAAATGTTTTGTATGGGAATTAGGAAATCACTTTTGTTTTACTGGATCTAATATCTTTTCATGTGAAAATACAAAACTTATGAAGTTCTGTAACAAACCTACGTTTTTTTTAAGAGTGCAATCATCCACGAGCATGAATAATTTCATAGGAGTTCCATGTTCGATCAAAACTAAGCTAAGGGTAAGTAGAAAGACAACAGTTGAAAAGAAATATATTGAATTACATGATTTTAGTTTTTCATCCGACAACCCACCGTCATTTTTCTACATTAGGAAAGCTCCTTATTTCCAGTGTGTTTTTTTTATGTGTCAGTTTTCCGACTTTAGTCTTTTATTGTTATTATGTTTTTCCATATATCTCTCTATAGATCTGCATTTACCTATTTCTCATGTCTATCTCACATTTTTTGTTCGCTTAATTCATTGAAAAGGTTACTAGAAATCGAGGTAATAAGTATTGATAATAACTACATTGTATTATGATACGAATAATCATTGGTAGCAATCGGAAAAGTCAAAAATTCGAAATCAATATTGAAGACTTGAACTAACTTTTCGACTGATAAGCTTATGGTTATTTTCGATAAAAAAAATATTCATTGTTAAACTATATTTAGTAGGCAAATCATGTGATGTCTAAAAGCAAACAATATTCATAGAAAAGAATACGAAGTTTGAAAACAATAGTCAAGTATTATATGATTCAATTTCAGTTAATCATTGTTCATAGTGAAGCACGTATATTCCGTTGCTCAATTCTTTGCTGACAGAGCAAGTGTACAACTATCCCATGCGTTGTTGATTTTTGCACGTCCCCATACCGGAAATGAATGTTTTTGATTGATGAATATCGTGTTTACAAAGATTTGTGTCATATTGACGCCTACATCTAGTGCACCAGAGGCCAAATATATGTAACGTTTAGTCCAGGTATATTTTCCAACAGTAAAATATATAGTAAGCCCAATTAGGATCCATGTGAAAAGTGCACCTGCTGATAATAGAGCAGGCATCCAACTGATCGTAACCAAAATGAGAGGCCAATGCAAATGTTTTAGGTAATTGAAGCGTGTCCAGCGTGATAAAAGCCAACCAGGAATTGGTAGTACTGCGCCTACCAAAAAAGCCCAAAGTAAATAGCGATTTGTCTCATTAGTATCAGACAAGAATCCACTAACATTTTTAAATAGACTTCTACCTAGCAACGTGTAATCAAATATTGAAAAATTCGAGTCATATTCATTATTGAACCCATATATTTTAAAATATATGTATTGAATACCAACACTGATTGAAGAGCAAATAAATCCCGCTAGACACTGAGCAACAAAGAGTGGACGATGGCCAATTTTAAGATAGTAGCCTAATTTCATGTCTTGCACTAGAGCGAGTGTTTGAACAAATAGAACATAACCGACCGTGAGAAATATATAGCTTTGTTTCGATTCTTTACCTAAAGATAGACCTTGAGAAATAATGACGCCAAGATAATAGACAGGTGCATTCTGCAGAAATTGTCCTGTTATTGATGCAACAAGTCCGAAAGGAAGTACCAGTAATATATTGATGAAAAGAGACAAAAGTACTAAATACCATTTCAACCAACCTGTATGATTACAAATTATGCAAGTTACAATTAAGGAAGCTGCGAAGACTAGAAAATACCACCAGTCAGGAACATACCTATAGAGTGATATAAGTCGTGCATGCACATCGTTGCCCATGTTGTAAACAGCTCTCGAACGAAATTGGTTCCAGATATTGGACTTGTGAAACAGAAACGTGTGTACGAAAATGGCTGGAAGACAAGCAAATGAAGTAAACACTGTAACAAGATGCATTGATGTCACTCCTGGATATATAATTCCACCGATCGGTTGAGCTTGCACATTACGCACATTCGCTCCATAGACAATGGGTACAATCAACCAGATAATCAGAATAAAACCAAATGCAATATTGATTAGTGCCCAGCTCGGTACAATAAGCGGGGATCCAAGGCACATCGTTATTTTCGACCAGTCTAGTGTAAGTCCACCACCACCTAACGCAAGACCTCGAACGGCAGTTAATTGAGCGAGAAGATAATTCTTACGATTCATCATGCAGATCCATGAGAAAACAGATAATGCAGGTATGATATATAGAGGAAACCATTCGTAAATAAATGTTAAGAGAGCAATAAAAGAGAACAAGAGTAGTTTATTGTGAATTAAAATATTTCTCCAATTACGATTCTGTGTACCACTATTATATTCGTCTGTATTAGTTGATTTACGTTCGTGCAAACTACGCAATATAGCGATCAACGGTAAATTTTGTGGCCAAATAATTTCTGATGGCCAAACCAAGAATCGTCGTAAGAGACCTTCAAAAAATATTACGTGAGATTCATATTTCTTAGTATAATTTTTCCTTCATGTCGAAAAGATAATGCATTTATTCTTTTAGTGCACAAAGGAAGAATATCAATAGCTATAGTTTTTAGGTTTTGATTATAGAAAGAAAATGATCGAATGCATTTATCTATCTAAGCTAGGATTAAAATGATAAGCGTGTACTTAAATTAAAATAATAATAGGATAGAGACATGCAGTTTTACTATTGAATAAAAGAAATCGATGGATATATATGTCATATCAACATAACAAGTTCTTATTCTCTAATATTGAGTTCAATGAGAATGTGTTCTCCTTTAGAAGGCATGGGTTTCTTTTGACTGAGAACGGGCTCGAGGATGTGCTACTTTTTCTTATAAGGGTTCGAATATGTTCTCTTTTTCTGAAAATGCGTTAGTCAATTAAGTTTCTCGAAAACCATTAGAGATTTTTCTAGTCGGAAAAGATTTGTACAATATCTTCTATACGTATCGCAGTCAAGACATTTCGCACGAAATCCATCCTTATACTTTCTATAACAAGAACATATGTTCACCAATCAGACAGTGAACTGATCTGATTTCATTGCTCCGTTAGCTCATTTACATTGGTGTTATAATCGATTCTGAATATTAAATGACAACTCTCAGACTTCATGCTTCCTAAATGAGAACTTTACTGTTAACTATAGGACTAAGATGTTATGAATAGATGAAAGGATTAACATAAAGAAATAAGTTGTTACGAATAGTAATAAGAGTTAGGCATGGAAATAAGGATTAAGACATAGAATTTAAGGGATTAAGAATAGATGTAAAAGGCTAGATATAGATATAAATGGCTAAGAATATATTTATAAGATGTTAAGGATAGAAATAAGGAGTTAAAGATAGGTATAGGATATTAAATATAGGAATAAGGCATTATGAAGAGGTAGGATGGATTAGAAATAGGTGCACAAAATTCGAAATATATTGGTATGAATGGTCAGTTAGAATGCTAAATAATTGGAAATAGATAGAGAATTTTATTGTCTTGAGCATACTAAGAAGCTGATACATCAAAGTCCTTTTTTGAAGCAATGAAAGAAAAAGATCCGCTCGAAAACTTCTTCGTACGAAACTTTAAAAAGGTTTCGTATGGTATCTTTCTTCTTTAATGTATTACCTAGATTTCTGTTCTCAAATTATCAGGATAACGATTTTCTAGTTGCTCTCTTTTCCTATCTATTTGTAGAAAATAATGAAAATCTGAATTCAGATCGTAAGATAATTGCGAAAGATTAAATACAGGTCAAATATCGAGTAGATTTCTTTCAAGTCTATCGTAACTAAATAATACTAAAAATATTACCTGCCAGCCCAAATCCCAAAAATTGAAGTGCTAATACAATGAAGAAATAATTTGCGAAATTCAGTTTATCGTATTCTAGTAATGGCAATGCTGCAGACAACGCA